ATTGCGATGCACGCGGAAGATGTGGTGTAGACACGCGCTGTGGCGCGTGCACAGGCGCTGCGGTGCACGCAGGCGCTGTGTTGCACATGGTAGCTGCGGTGTGCACATATGTACACCGGCGCTGTAGTGTACGCAAGCATTGTGGTGTACACAGGCGCTGCGTTGCACACGGTTGTTGCGGTGTACGCAGGCGTTGTGGTATACGCGCGCGTTGTGGTGCACGCGAGCGTTGTGGTGTACACAGGCACAGTGGCATAGTGGGGCATATCGCCACCTACATGCTGCTCGCGTCGTCGTCGTCTCGTCGTTCGGCCCTCTTCGCGTCGCGCGCGCGGGCGCGGTTGCGGTGCCGGAGCCACACGGCGGGGGGGGCGGCGTTACGTCATACCCCCCCTCCCGCCCCCCCCCCAATGACGCCCGTCATCGCCGAACATAAAGAGTCGCGCTCTTATTGGTTCTTCAGGCCTGGATATGGAGGAAGTCTCAGGCGGGAGCGTCGTTTGTGAGTGAATTGCGAAGACGTCTCAGGCGGGAACCTCCTGCTCATGGGTCCGTCACTTCACGTTTTTAATCAGAGCGGACCATCGGAATCATGTAATAGCCGTCGCCACGTTTGGGCTCCTCTAGCCTGAATCTTGGGGAAGTCTCACGCGGGAGCCTCGTCTGTGAGTAAGTTGCTAGGGGGTCTCTAGCGGGAGCCCCTTGCCCATGGGTGCTGCGCGTCACCTTTGTAATTCAAGTGTATCATCGGAACCTTGTAACTGTCGTCATTTTTGGGCGCCTCAGACTTGATTGCGGAGGAAACCTCAGGCGAGAGCCTCGTTTGTGAATGAATTGCGAGGAAGTCTCTGGCGAGAGCCCCCTCCCTATGGGGTCCGCATTTCACGTTGATAGTCCGAGTGGGTCATCGGAACTTTTTAACTGTCGCCGCTTGTCGGCTCCTCTGGATTGAATATGGAGGAAGTTTCACGCGGGGGCTTCGTCTGTCAGTGGACAGCCTGGAAGTCTCAGGCGGACCCCCCCCCTCCCATGTGGCCCGCGCTTCGTGTTGGCAATCCGAGCGGGCAATCGGCAAACTCATCCAAGCATAACATTTGAGCACCCCAAAGGGGTACATCACGAAGTGTTCCCCGCGTTTCTGTGAGTGAGTTGCAAGGAAGTCTCAGGCGGGAGCCCCTTTCCTAGCCACAAGTCGCCCGAGGAGTTCGACAAGAGAGTGTTGGATTCTCGGGCTGAGGCGGAACAGCTCGCGGCAGAGCTGAACTTCGTGCCGCTTCCCACCTAAGCGCGGCCGCGACCAGCTCGGTGCCTGCGGGGTTGTCCCAAAGGCATGATATCGCGTTCCTGCGGCTCGCGGGGTTGTCCCAACGGCCGTTGTCCCAAAGGCTTCACGATTTTGCCATCGGAGAATGCGCCCCTGCTGGGCGCGGCGGCGAGGGCGCCGATGAACATCGGCATGCGCCCCCTTGCCAGGAGGAAGGAGAGGTGCATGAGGAGAGCTGGCGGGATGGAGATCCGGGGGGGGGAGAGGGAGGAGGAGGTGGAGGAGGAGGAGGAGGGGGGGAAAGGACGGAGAAGAAGAGGATACATTAAACAAGGGGGCGCGCAGGAGGACGACGCGGAGGACGAGGAAGACAAGGAGGATGATGAGGTAGCGCAACAGTGTGCGAGACGGGTGGTTTCAGCCAGGGCGAAGAGGAAAAATCGAAGGGACATCGAATTATATTTTCATGTGGGGCCCCACCGTCTGAATACATGATTCGTGCGTTTATACATACTATGGTTACTGAGTTTATTTGATGGGGGTGTGGGGGATCACTACTTGGTAAAATGGGATGGTGCGATGTCGTACGGAGAATTGCGATGAGGCGTTCTCAAACGTGTATGGTAATGCGAAAAGAAAAGGAACCATGATCCCCAGGTTCGGGGCGGGGGTGGGTTTTGTTTTTTTGTTTGAAACGAGGACCTACGGGGCGCAACTCCGCTGCCAACACCGCGCACGACCGCCTTTAATGTTCGCCGCCAACTCCAACGCTCGAGCAGGTATCCCGCCCACTCACATTTGATTGGTACAGGTGAACTGGCGTAGTGACGCGAGGACCGTTCCCGTGTAGATTCTTATGCCGGGTGAGCGACTGATGGTCATGGATGGTGGTGGCGCGCATGTTGAGGGCAACGACAACGACGCAGGGGATGACGCTGAGAATGGTGATGCGGGTGAGGGCGATGGAACATTGAAATGACGCCGGTGGCGGGTATAACAACACTGGGTGCCGATGGTGGCGATGAGGCAGCGCGCGCACAGAGTCAGCAATTCTGTGTTCCACTGGGGATTTTGAGGACATCTCAGTTGAACTGTGTTGGGCGTTTTGGTTTGGGGAGGATGTCGTCGTGCGCGCGCGGAGATGCGCGTGTGTGGCACGCAAGGCATGGTTTGACAGGTTTGGCGGGCACGCGATGCTTGTTACATATATAAGTTCGGCATGCGCGCCCGTGCTGCCCGCGTGGTCCTCCTCCCCCTCTTCCTCAACCTTTCCTCTTCATCCTCTTATTTTCATCCTCTTCTTCCTTCTCCTCCTCCTTCTTTCCCTCCTCGGCCCCTCCTCCTCCTCCTCCCGCTCCTCCCCCTTCTTCTTTACAGCATGGCAACGGGGCTTTACTTGTGATGTGATGTCATGTCTTATGGGTTTCGCTCCAGGAGTCATGGAGCACAAACTGTTTCGGATTTGCTTGACATGTGCATGCGCATGTGGCCCGCATTCGACGTGCGCATGCGCATGTGGCCCACATGTTACTACTTCGTTCGGATTATTTTGAAAGGCGCTTATTCGATCAATGCGCATGCCCCGCATGCTATGATTTGCCAGGAGCGGTGGCGGATATCGATGCCTGTCGCTCGCGCGTGCTACTGGCAAACACGAATTCGAAGCGGAACGTCGGGTGGCTAGCCCGACCTCGGCACGGGGGTAGATCCAGGAGGGGGAAACAAAACCACAGACACAGTGGAGAGTGGATCCCCAGGAACAGATGGGAACCTACGGGAAGAGGGGGGAGGACGAACGTCCAAAGATTATGTGGACCGCTGAGGGATCAAGGATTTCTGTCTATTCATTTGCGTGCCCTTGGGCCCCTTTTCATAGATTGGAGAGGCCTGACGGCCGGTGCCGCCGACCCTGATCGAAAGGGCTAGGAGTGGGGGGAGGAAGCGGAGGAGGAGGAGGAGGAGGAGGAGCAGGAGCAGGAGGAGGAGGAGGAGGAGGAGGAGGAGGATGTGTGTCTATTGATTTGCGTGTCCCTGGGCCCATTTGTCATAGATTGCAATTAAATTTGGGGTATACACGCGACCCCCCGCGCACCCAGAGGCGGCCGCGGGTTCCCACCGGCCGCATGTCGTGGCGGCGCGAACATGCTTGGTGCAGGTCTTGTTTTTTTTGGGGGAACGAATCTCCTCTTCTCTCCTCCCCATCCTCCTCCTCCTCCTCCTCCTCCTCCTCTTCGTCCTCCTCCTCCTTTTCGTCCTCCTCCTCCTTTTCCTCCTCCTCCTCCTCCTCCTCCTCGTTTTCCTCCTTTTCCTCCCCCTTTTCATGGATTCCCATCTTTTTCTGGGTCTACACGCGACCCCGCGCACCAAGAGTCGGCCGCGGGCGCCCAGCGGCCGACTGTCGTGGCGGCGTGAACATGCTTGGTGCAGGTACGTTTTTTTTGGGGGGGGGGACGAATCCCCTCTTCTCTCCTCCTCCTCCTCCTCCTCCTCGTCCTCCTCCTCCTCCTCCTCCTTCTCCTCCTCCTCCTCCTCCTCCTTTTCCTCCTTTTCCTCCTCCTCCTTTTCCTCCTCCTCCTTCTCCTTTTACCGCTTGGATCGGTGTCCTCTCGTCCCCTGCTCTCGGCCGCCCGCCCTCGCATGCCAACCTACTTCTGGCTCAAGCCCGCTGTGGGAGCCCCCGGGAGCGCCCCCCCGCTGCCGCTTGCCGGGCTGCCAGGGCAAGGGCGCAGGCCGCGTCGGCGCTCGGGCTGCTGGCCGAGGCCCACCGGCAGGGCGATGTCCAACATCTCGGAGGAGGAGGCGGTCCTCCACCTGAAGCGCGCGCTCGGTGAGATCGAGACCGGCGATGCGGTTCCCGCGCCGCTGCCGGTGATTCAGGCCAAGCCGCCGCCCCCGAAGGTGCCCAAGACCTCGCAGAGCGCCCCGAAGGCGGGCCCCCCGAGCGGCTACAGCCTCCGGGGCCCGGGCCAGTCGCTGCTCGGCGGCAAGGGGGCGGGCCCCGCGGCGCCGGGCCTGCAGGACCCCTCGAAGGAGAGCCAGCACCAGAGCCAGCTGTCGGCGATGCAGAAGGAGATCCAGAGGTCGCTCGGGAGCTCGGGCGGCTCCGGGATGCCAGGGCCGTTCCTGCCGCCCCCGGGCGCGGCACAGGTGGAGGCGCAGCGGGCCCAGATGCAGGCGCAGGCGCAGCAGGCTGCCGAGCGCGCGGCGGCGCAGCAGCGGGCGCAGGCCGCGGCGGCGGCTCAGGCTGCCCAGGCTGCGAGGCCCCGCCGGCGGCATCCAGTGTGGCGGCGGCCGTGGCGGCGGCGCAGGTCGAGGAAGGAACAGCAGCGTGAGCATCAACTTTCGGAGCTCCGCGCGGATGTCTTGGACCGACGCTGGCGCCCCTTTGCGGCGCCTCGGGCGCTGCCCCTGGCGCGCTCCGCGCGCCACGGAGGGGGCCCAGCATGGATCCAACAGAGCCGCGCGGACTTGCGGAAGTTTCTGCTTCTGCTGTTTGTTGTTCTTCTAGCAGGGTCCTGGCAAGGCAACGGTCCAGTTTGATATCCCACAGGGACAGGTGCCCATTGTCATTGGCAGGAACTCGGCAACCCTAAACGCCATCAAGGCATACTCGAAGGCGCAGTGCTTCATCGAGCAGCGGACACCAGACGAGGACACGGCGCGGGTCTCCGTCGTCGGATCACCCACGGAGATCGAGAAGTGCAAGCAGACGGTGCTCGCGGTCGTCGACGGAACCATGTCGCTTGCCACGTTGTGCTCGCTGGCCGGCGTGCCCATGCCTGCTGGCGATCGAGACGACGGGCGGAGCGGCCGTGGTGGAGGCGGCGCAGCAGCGGCGCCGCCAGCGGGCCCTGTGGGGGGCTTCCCGGGGATGCCACCCATGGGCGGGATGCCGCCGATGCCGGTTCCTGGCGGCGTGCCAGGCATGCCAGAGAACCACCAGATGCAGCAGAATCTGAACGACTATTATACCCGGATGTGGTCCAGCTACGCCATGCAGCAGCAGTCGGACAAGATGAAGGCCGCTCAGATGCCCACTGGCCCAGCTTTCGACAAGGAGGCCCTCGCGCGGCTCGCCGAGAGGGCAGCGCAGGCCCCGCCCGAGCCTCCTGCGCAGCCTCCGGCGTACGAAGAGCAGCCAGCGCCTGCTCCGCCAGCGCACGCAGAGCAGTCAGACCATGCGCCGAAGGCGTCGGACGCCACCAGCAGCCTCGAGGCCGAGGTGGCCAGACTGCGCGCGGAGAACGAGCGCTTGCGCGCCGGTACCTCGCAGATGTCCCAGAGCCCACCGCCGGCAGCGCCCACGGCTCCCGCTGCACTAAGTTCCACGAGCATGGCGAGCTCGGCAGCGGGCATGGGTCCTGGCCAGAGCATGGGCATGACGATCAACCAGCAGAAGAGGGTCGCAGACGTTACCCTGAAGGGCTTCCTCAACCCCAGGGCGATGGAGGCGCAGAAGCCGCAGAAGGATGACGAGTCCGTGCAGAAGATGCTTGAGCGGCTGCAAGGCAATGTAGAGCAGACCAAGCATGCGGTCGAGCTGAACCAGGAGCAGATGAAGGCACGGGCGGCACAGATGCGTGCATCGGGGCAGGCGATGGGCGCTTGGTCGCCGGAAGTCGGCCTGAACGCCTTCAGGGAGGACTTGAGGACGCGCGCCGATTTCGAGTTCGAGGCGCTCACCTCGCGCATGCAGTCGGCGACAGAGCCAGCCGACATGGACAATATCGCGAGGGAGGTGCTCATCAGGTTTTCCTCCTTCAATCCGCAGCAGGTGGTTGAGCTGCTGCAGAAGCTGGACGGCGCCTCGGGGCTTCAGCACCACCAGGGCGGAGACTTCCTCGCCGAGATGAGCCGCCTGGTGGTCCCGCGGCTGAAGGAGTTCAGCAGCAGCCAGTTCACGTCGCTGACGAGCACCTTCGCGTCCTGGTCCTCGGAGGCCCGTGCCGACTCGAGGAAGCGCGGCGGACGCTTCGTGGAGTTCTCCAAGGCCTTCTTCAACGCGGCAGCGCAGGAGATGTCAGTACGACTGATGACGTTCGCTCCCCACGAGCTGAACTGCTGCCTGGCGGCATTCGTGTCGGTGGGTTTCTCCGACCACAAGTTCTTCGCTTCCGTTAGCCGTGCTGCCCTCGCACGCCACAGCAGTTTTGCCCCAGTTCAGCTGACTGCGCTGCTCGCCATCCTCTCGGAGATGCGACTCGTGCACGGGGATTTGTTCAATGCAGCTGCCGGCTTCTTGACCACCCGGGCGAAGGAGCTGCGCCCTGTGGATATCATACGCGTGCTCCGGTCCTTCTCCAAGTGCAACATGCAGCACCAGGGCCTCTGCAAGGCCGTGAGCGACGAGGTCGTCAGCCGCACGAGGGACCCGAAGACTGCGGGCAGCTTCAAGGCGGAGGACCTCTGCGAGATATCCTGGGCGCTGATGGTGCTGAACCACTACCACGAGGGCATCTTCAGGACCATGTTCCAGTATCTGGAAAAGACGCCGACGATCGCCGCCGACGCCCTGCTGCAGCTGTACGAGTGCCACCTGGCACTGCAGGCGGAGTATTCCGACCAGTACAAGCGGTGCCCCGCAGTAGGCACCTATATACGACCGTCATGTCAGGCCTTGACCATCTTGGGCCCTCTGATGATGTACAGTCGGGGCCCTGAAGAAGGAACCCTTTTTGTTGGGGAGGGGCTCCGTGTTCCTTAGTTGCTTTACAGTGATCCTTGGGTTTTCCTGAGGTTTCCCATGGAAAATCGGAGTTTACGATATGGGAAAAATGGGCCTCGTTCCTTATGTATCGTTCCTTAGGTCAACGCCCCGACTGTATAGACCTTGTGGCCTCGGCCCGGAAGGCGTACACGGTAGGCTCGTGTCGTGTGGACGCGGCGGCGACTCCAGCGCGGGGCGTTCCAGGTTAGACGCAACGGGTGGCCCAGGGCCCGCTGATGTCGAACCATCCGCATCGTCGGAGCCTACATCGGAAAGCCATGGTCGTTCAGTGTTGAACGGCCCACGCGGTGTCAGGAACCAACACGCGTATTGTCACGACGCGAACCCGTCGTACAGTTTTGCCCCCACCCCTCCGTTGATGGGTTCTCGTTTCGAATGGGGCGTTGTGGTCGCGTCTCCTTTCTCCTCCCCCCTCCTGTCTCCTTTCTTGTCTCTCTTTCTACCTCTCTCTCTCTTTCTCTCTCTATCTCTGTCTATCTCTGTCTCTCCTTTTGTCTTGCACCTCTTTCTCGTACCTGCCTCCGACCTCGCCACCCCTGGGGTTGCCATCTGCGAAACTGTCGCCACTTTCGAGGGCTGTTGTGGGGGCCAGCGCAGTGGGGTCATACCCAGACTCAGATTAGACCTCGCGACCCCAGGTGGGCTGCGAGTTTCGAAGCTGTCGCCGCTTGGCCCAGCATAATTAGTGGAGGCCAGATTCAGATTAGAACTTGCCATCCCTGGGGGGCTGCGACTGGCGAAATTGTCGTCACTTTTGTGGGTTGCGAGGGGGGGGCAGCATAGTGGGGCACTGCGGAGATTCACTTTAGACCTGTGGCCAGCATAGTTGGTGCCTGCCGTGGACCCAGATTAGATCTCGCCGTGCTTTTTTTTGCAATCTCGCCACCCGTTTTTTTTCCCCGTAGTCCTTGCTTTCCCTTGGATCCAGGGAACTAACTAATCACAGCCATCGAGCCCTTGTCCATCGATCGGTGTCCTGCGAGTCGCGCAGCTCGCGGGCCCCCCAAAGTAACATTCGCAGACAGTATACCCCCTTGCAAAGTTATGGCCACGGCTAGCGCAAAGGTTGGGGACTTCGTCAGGATATATTGCCATCTGCAGGGCACACTGTGGCAGAGACTTGTCCCTGTCCCAACTCTCCTACTTTGGGTTCTCGTTTCGAATCAGTCAATTGGGTCGCGTCTTCTTCCTTCCTCCTCCTCCTCCTTAGAAACGGGAGCTGGGAACCGGGAGCCAGGAACTACTGGCAACTGAGAACAAGGAATGTTGAATCACGGACCGGGAACTGGGAACCGGGAACAGGGAACCGTGGACCACGAACCGGAAACTCGGAACTGGGAACAGGGAACAGGAAACCGAAAGTCGGGAACCAGGAGCCGGGATCCGGGAAGAAAGAAAGCAGGATTTGTGGCATGTGTTCGGGAAGTGGGAGATTGGGAGAGGGGCAGAAAGGAGGAGAGCGATTGGATATCGGTATACGATATGTGTAAATGTATATATATATATATATATATGTTTTCGCGATGTTGGAAACCGGATGAGGGGGAGAACGAAGGAGAGCGATATACATACATATATACATATTTTTGTATATATATACACATATACGCATGCGGTCAAGTTGCCGTACACACGGCACCCCTCTCGAGGACCCAAGTGCCACTCACCGTAGAGACCGTTTCTCTTTTGCCTGGGGCATGACGGGCGTCATGGCCCCCGCTCCCTCCCTATGACGTAACGCTCCCCCCCCAGTGTGCTCCGGGCAATGCCGCCGTGCGCATTGGGATCCGCGTATGTGTCCGCGTAGGAATCCGCATAGGAGTCTGGTCGGCAGTCGTCGTCGTCGTCGTCGTCGTCGTCGCCAGTGGCTTGTCGCTCGTCGCTCATAGTCGTCGTGCGCGCGGACGCGGCTGAAGCCTGTTTATTCCGGGCCGACGACGGCAGTCATCTAGGGGGGGGGGTGGGAGGGGGTCGATGACGTCACGTTTCGCGCCGGCGGCGCATGGGAATGCTTAGGAATGATTGGGGACGGGTAGCGCCAGCATGTGGGTGGCGATTTACACCACAACGCCTGTGTACACCGCAGTGCCTGCGTGCACCACAGCGCCTGTGTACACCACACCGCCTATGTACACCACAGCAGTCGCGTGCAACACAGCGTCAGTTTTGTGCCACCGTGCCTGCGGGCACAACAGCTCTTGTGCACACAACAGCGCTTGCGTACACCACATCAGCCGTGTGCAACACAGCACCAGTGTACACCACAACGCCTGCGTGCATTGCAGTGCCTGTATGCACCACGGCGCCTGTGTGCACCACAGCAACCGTGTGCAACACAGCACCACTGTTGTACATAGAATGTTGAAACAAATCCTTCTGACAAAATGGAGCGCTTGTGGATTCCATTAAAAACAATAAAAAGTAATCCTTATGGACAACGGAGCGCCGCTGGAATCCACGAGTCCTCCCGAATCCGCCCGCATCACCCCAACTCCTCCCATCTGCGTCCAGGAGGCTCCAGGTAAATTGGCCGTCCGAGAACTAAGTGGACCGATTCAATAGACCATTATATGCGGTGCGCGCTGAGATGCGCACGTGCGCAGTAGCGCCAACCCGCACGACAGGGGGCAAGAAGGAGGAGGGGGAGGGGGAGGGGGAGGAGGAGGAGGAGGAGGAGGAGGAGGAGGAGGAGGAGGAGAAGGAGGAGGAGAAGAAAGAGGAGGAGGAGGAAGAGGAGGAGGTGGTGGAGGTGGAGGAGGAGGGAGGAGGGAAAAACGTCGCATTCGATCATCAGCAGTTTCCTCACGTACATGCTCCTTCTACCCGTCCTATGCACGCAGGCATTGTGGTGTACACCAGCGCTGCGGTGCACGCGGATCTTGTGGTGTAGACACGCGCTGTGGCGTGCACAGGCGCTGCGGTACACGCAAGCACTGTGGTGTACACAGGCGCTGTGTTGCACATGGTAGTTGCGGTGTACACATGTACACCGGCGCTGTAGTGTACGCAAGCACTGTGGTGTACACAGGCGCTCCGTTGCACACGGTTGTTGCGGTGTACGCAAGCGCTGTGGTATATACGCGCGCGCTGTGTTGCACGCGAGCGTTGTGGCGTACATAAGCGCAGTGGGGCATATCGCCATCTACATGCTGCTCGCGTCGTCGTCGTCGTCGTCGTCTCTCGTCGCTCGTCGCTCGTCGCGTCGCGCGCGCGGGCGCGGCGGCTGCGGTGCCAGAGCCACACGGCGGGGGGGGCGTTACGTCAGACCCACCCTTCGCCCCCTCCCCCCCCCATGACGCCCGTCATCGCCGAACATAAAGCACTATGCGCATCTCTCCACTCCCTGTCCCATTTTGCACACCTTATTAAATCGTGCGTGCATGCGACACGTTTCTGTGTTGCAAGCGGGCGTTCGCGCTAAAAGTTTTGACGTTGGCGACAGGTTTGCCTTGACACTTTCCTGGGCACGCGTGTGTAGCGCCCTCGCCAGGGTGCACTCTGTAGAGCCTGTTTCTTTCTTGCTTGGGCCATGACGCGCGTTATAGCCCCCCTGCCCCCCCCCACACACCCCTCCTAACGTAACGCTCTGGCCCCTAGTGCGCCCGGCACCGCCGCCGTGCGCATAGGGATCCGCATGGGAGCCCGAATAGGGATCCGCATAGGCATCCGCACAGAAGCCCGCACAGGGATCCGCATGGGGATCGCATAGGGATATCCATCGTGATCCGGATAGGGATCCGCGTTGGGATTCCCAGGGATCCTCACAGAGATCCGAACAGGGATCTGCATTTGGAACCGCATAGAGATCCGCGTGGGGATCCGCATAGGGATCCCCAGAAGCAATCGCATAGGGACCCGCACAGGTATCCGCATAGGGATCCGCATAGGGATCCGCATAGGGATCCGCATAGGGATCCGCATGGCAATTCGCATAGGCATCCGCACAGGGATCCGCATAGGGATCCACATAGGTATCCGCATAGAGATCCGCATAGGGATGCGCATAGGGATCCCCAGAGAGATCCGAATAGGGATCCGCTCAGAGACCCGCATAGGAGCGGTGGTCGCGGGCAAAGGGCGGTGCTCTCAGGCACTTGTGGTGATCGTAGGAAAGAGAGAGAGAGAGAGAGAGAGAGAGAGAAAAAAAAACAAAACAAAAAGAGATAGAGAGAGAGAGAGAAAGAGAGAGAGAGAGAGAGCAATAGGCGGAGAAGGGCGACGACGATAAAGACGACGACGACGCCGAGGAGGAGGAGGAGGAGGAGGAGGATGGAGCAGGGAGCTATGGAGCGTTCCTCCTAAACGCCACGTGAAGGCAACGACGCCTTCGCAGGCACTTGCTCGCCACAAGTCCTCGTCGCTCTTCGTTGTCGGGTCGTCATCGTCGTCGTCGTTGTCGTTGTCGATGTCGTAGTCGTAGTCGTCGTCGACTTCGCCGTCGCCGTCGTCGCTCGTCGTCGTCGTTTTTGCCGTCGCCGTCGTCGTTTTCGTCGTCGTCGTCTTCATCTTCGACGTCGTCGTCGTTGTCGTCAGCGGACATCGCTCGCGGTCGCTCGTCGTTGTCAAACGCCTTCGAATGCATTCGAGGGCCTTGGAGGCCTTCGGATGACCTCTGGCCGGCCTCTGGAGGCTTCCAGAGGCCTCAGGAGGCCTCTGGAGGCCTCGGGAAATCTCCGGAGACCTCCAGAGGCGTCGCTCGTCGTCGCAGTCGTCGTCGTCGTCGTCGCTCGTCGTCGTCGTCGCTGTCGTCGTCGTCGTCGTCGCTCGCCGTCGACGTCGTCGTCGTCGTGGTCGCTCGTCGTCGTCGTCGTCTTCGTCGTCGTCGTGGTCGCTCGTCGTCGTCGTC